TGAGTTATTTCACTTAGAATAATAGTCTCTAAGCCTATGCAGGTTGCCATGAATGCCATTGGTCAATTCCTTTATATGACTAAGTTTTCCGTCATATGTAAATACCACAATTTCTTTATCCACTTGTAGATTGATGGGCTTTTGGGTTGGTTCCATATTTTTGCAATTGTGAATTGTGCTGCTATAAACATGCATGTGCAATGACTTCTTTCCTTCTGTGTAGATCTCCGGTGTTGGAGTTGCCAGATCAAATGGTAGTTTTACTTTTGTTCTTTAAGGAATCTCCACACTGCTTTCTATAGTTGTTGTACTAGTTAACATTCCCACCAGTAGTATAGAAGTGTTCCCTTTTACCACATTGACACTGACATCTCTTATTTTTTATTTTTTGATTATGGCCATTCTTGCCAGAGTAAGGTGATATCACACAGTGATTTTGATTTGCATTTCCCACATCATTAGTGATATTGAACAGTTTTTCATATTCTCAAAAAAATATATATTTTCAAATTCTCAAAAGAGGATACATTTTCAAATTTTCAAGAGAAGATATACCCGGGCCAAAAAATGTATGTTTCAAATTTTCTATTCATATCCTTAGCCCACTTTTTGATGGGATTATTTTTTTCTTAGTAATTTCTTTGAGTTTGTTATGGATTCTAGATATTAGTCCTTTGTCAGATGTATAGATTGTGAAGATTGTCTCCCACTCTATGGGTTGTCCGTTTACTCTACTGACTATTCCTTTTGCCAAGCAAAAACTCTTTAGTTTAATTAAGCTCCACCTATTTATTTTTGTTTTTATTGTATTTGCTTTTGGGTTCTTGATCTTGAAGTCCTTGCTTAATCCAATGTCCAGAAGAATTTTTCCAATGTTATCTTCTGGAATTTTATAGTTTCACGTCTTAGATTTAAGTCCTTGATCCATCTTGAGTTGATTTTTGTATAATGTGAGAGATGAGGATACAGATTTGTTTTCTTACATTTGGCTTGCCAATAATACCAGCATCATTTGTTGAAAAAGGGTATCCTTTCCCCACTTCATTTTTTTGTTTGCTTTTTCAAAGATCATCTGGCTGTAAATAATTTGGGCTTATTTCTGAGTTCTGTATTATTTTCCATTGGCCTACGTGCCTATTTTTATATCAGTGTTACGCTGTTTTGGTGACTATGGTCTTAGAGTATAGTTTGAAATCAGGTAATGTGATGCTCCAGATTTGTTCTTTTTGTTTAGTTTTGCTTTGGCTATTGTGGGCTCTTCTTTGGTTCCATATGAATTTTAGTATTTTTTTTTCCTTGTTCTGTGAAGAGTGATGGTGGTATTTTGATGGGGATTGCACTGAATTTGTAGATTGCTTTTGGCAGTATGGTCATTTTTATAATATTGGTTCTACCCATCCATGAGCACGGGATGTGTTTTCATTTGTTTGTGTTGTCTATAATTTCTTTCAGTAGTGTTTTTTTTTTTTTTTTTTTGAGGTGGAGTTTAGCTCTTGTTATCCAGGCTGGAGTGCAATGGCGCGATCTCGGCTCACCACAACCTCCGCCTCCTGGGTTCAGGCAATTCTCCTGCCTCAGCCTCCTGAGTAGCTGGGATTACAGGCACGTGCCACCATGCCCAGCTAATTTTTTGTATTTTTAGTAGAGATGGGTTTTCACCATGTTGACCAGGATGGTCTCGATCTCTTGACCTCATGATCCACCTGCCTCAGCCTCCCAAAGTGCTGGGATTACAGGTGTGAGCCACCGCGCCTGGCCTCAACAGTTTTGTAATTTTCCTTGTAGAAGTCTTTCGCCTCTTTAGTTACATATATTCTAGGTATTTTAATTTTTTTGCAGCTATCTTAAAAGGAATTGAGTTTTTTATTTTGATTCTCAGCTTGGTCACTGTTGGTATATAGGAGAACTACTGATGTGTGTACATTAATTTTGTATCCAGAAACTTTGTTGAATTCTTCTAACAGTTCTAGGAGCTTTTTGGAGGATCCTTTAGGGTTTTCTATGTTACAATCACCTCCTCAGAAAGCACTAATTTCCTCTTTACTGATTTGGATGTTATTTCTTTCTCCTGTCTGATTCCTCTGGCTAGGACTTCCAGTACTATGTTGAAGAGAAGTGGAAAGACTGGGCATCTTTGTTTTGTTCTAGTTCTAAGAGGAAATGCTTTCAACTTTTACCCATTCAATATTATGTTTGCTATGGGTTTGTCATAGATAGCTGTTATTACATTGAAGTATGTCCCTTGTAGGCTAATTTTGCTGAGAGTTTTAATCATAAAGGAATGATGGATTTTTTTTTTGTCAAATGCCTTTTCTGTGTCTATTGAGATGATCAATTTTAATTCTCTTTGTGTGGTGCATCACATTTATTGACTCACCTATGTTAAACAGTCCCTGCATCCCTGGTACGAAACCTACTTGATCATGGTAAATTATCTTTTTGATATGTTGTTTGGTTCAGTTAACTAGTATTTTGTTAAGGATTTTTGCATCTATGTTGATTAGGAATATTGGTCTGTAGTTTGCTTTTTTGGTTATGTCCTTTCCTGATTTTGATATTAGGGTAATACTGGCTACATAGAATGATTTAGGGAGGATTCCCTCTTTCTCTATCTTGTGGAATAGTGTCAATTGGATTGGTACCAATTCTTCTTTGAATGATAGAATTCAGCTGTGAATCTGTCTGGTCCTGAACTTTTTTGTTGGTAATATTTTGATACCATTTCAATCTCTCTGCTTGTTATTGGTCTGTTGAGGCCATCTAATTCTTCCTGATTTCAGCTTGGAGGGTGGCTATTTTTCCAGGAATTTGTCCATATCCTGTAGGTATTCTAGTTTATGCATGTAAAGGTGTTCATAGTAGCCTTGAAATGATCTTTTGTATTTCTGTGGTGTCAGTTGTAATAGCTCCCATTTTGTTTCTAATTGAGCTTATTTGGATTCTCTTTTCTGTGATAATCTTACTAATGGTCTATCAATTGTATTTATCTTTTAAAAGAAGCAGCTTTTTATTTCATTTATCTTTTGTATTTTTTTGGTTTCATTTTCATTTAGTTCCTCTCTGATCTTGGTTATTTCTTTTCTTCTGTTGTGTTTCTTAAATTTATTGAGACTTGTTTCATGGCCTATCATATGGTCTGTCTTGGAGAAAATTCCATGTGCTGAGGAATAGAATATATATTCTGTCATTGTTGTAATACATGGTCTGTGAATGTTTTGTAAATATCTTTTAAGTCTATTTGTTCCAAGGTGTAGTTTAAATCCACTGCTTCTTTGTTGACTTTCTTCTTGATGACCTGTCTAGTGCTGTCAGTGGTGTATTGAAGTCCCTCATTATTATTATTGTGTTGCTACCTATCTAGTAGGTTTAGTAGTAACTATTTTATAAATTTGGAGGTCTAGCATTAGGTGCATATATATTCAGGATTGTAATATTTTCCTGTTGGAGAAGACCTTTTTTCACTGCATAATGTCCTTTTTTGTCTTTTAAAACTGCTTTTGCTTTAAAATTTGTTTTGTCTGATATAAGGATAATTACTCCTGCTCACTTTTGGTGTCTATTTGCATGGAATGCCTTTTTTCACCCCTTTACCTTAAGTTTATGTGATTCCTTATGTGTTAGGTGAGTCTCTTGAAGGAAGCAGATCATTGGTTTGTGTAATCTTATCCATTCTGCAATTCTGTGTCTTTTAAGTGGAGGATTTAGGCCATTTACATTCAACATTAGTATGGAGATGTAAGATACGAGTCTATTTATTGTGTTATTATAGGTCCTCTGAGATTTATGCTTTAAAGAAGTTCTGTTTTGATGTGTTTCCAGAAATTGTTTCAAGATTTAGAGCTGTTGGCCGTGTGTGGCCTGTAATCCCAGCACTTTGGGAGGCTGAGGCGGGTAGATCACTTGACATCAGGAGTTTGAGGCCAGCCTGGCCAACATGGCAAAACCCCATCTCTACTAATAAAACAAAAATTGGCCAGGTGTGGTGGCAGGCAGTTGTAATCCTAGCTCTTCAGGGGGCTGTGGCAGGACAATTGCTTGAATCCTGGAGGCCAAGATTACAGTGAGCCAAGATTGCACTCCAGCCTGGGCAACACAGCAAGATTCCATCTCAAAAGCAAAAAAAAAGATTTAGAGCTCCTTTTAACAGTTCATGTAGTGCTGGGTTCGTCGTGAATTCTCTCAGCATTTGTTTGTCTGAAAAAGCCTATCTTTCCTTCATTTATGAAGCCTAGTTTTGTGGGATACAAAATTCTTGACTGATAATTGTTTTGTTTAAGGAGACTGAAGATAGGGCCACAATCCCTTCTGCTGAGGTTTTTGGAAGGTTTCTGCTGAGAAATCTCCTATTAATCTGTAGGTTTCCCTTTATAGGTTACCTGGTGCTTTCGTCTCACAGCTCTTAAGATTCTTTCCTTCCTCTAACTTTAGATAACCTGATGATATTGTGCCTAGGTGATGATCTTTTTGTGATTAACTTCACAGGTGTTCCTTGAGCTTCTTATATTCGGCTGTCCAGGTCTCTAGCAAGGCTGGGGAAGTTTTCCTTGATTTTTCCCCCAAATATGTTTTTCAGATTTTAGATTAATCTTTTTCCTCAGGAATACTGATTATTCTTAGATTTGGTCATTTAACATTGTCTCAAACTTCTTGGAGACTTTTCTCTTTTTTTTCTTATTATTTTTTCTTTGTGTTGAATTAGGTTAATTTGAAAACCTTGTCTTAGAGCTCTGAAGTTAGTTCTTCTGTTTGTTTGATTCTATTGCTAAGACTTTCCAGAACAGTTTGGATTTCCTTAAGTGCATCCATTATTTCCTGAAGTTTTGATAGCTTTTTATTTTAGCTATGCTGTTTGTTTTTCTTCCTTCCTTCCTTCCTTCCTTCCTTCCTTCCTTCCTTCCTTCCTTCCTTCCTTCCTTTCCCTTCCCTTCCCTTCCTTCCTTTCTTTCTTTCTTTCTTTCTTTCTTTCTTTATTTCTTTCTTTCTTTCTTTCTTTCTGTCCATCTCAATCTGTCACCAAGGCTGGAGTGCAGTGGCATGATCTTGACTCACTGCAACCTCTGCCTCATGGTTTCAAGTGATTATCCTGCCTTAACCTCCTGAGTAGCTGGGACTACAAAAGTGTGCCACCATGCCTGGCTAATTTTTGCATTTTTAGTAGAGATGGGGTTTTGCCATATTGGCTGGGCTAATTTTGAACTCCTGATCTCAAGTGATCTGCCTGCCTCAGCCTCCCAAAATGCTAGGATTACAGGAGTGAGCCATGATGTCTGGCTATTTATACTATCTATTTCACTGATGATTCCTTCCCTCATTTCTTGTATCATTTAAAAAAATTTTCTTAAATTGGATTTCACCTTTCTGTGTTGCCTCCTTGATTAGCTTAATAACTGATCTTCGGAATTCTTTTTCAGGAAAATCAGAAATTTCTTCTTGGTTTGGAGCCATTGCTGGTGAGCTACTGTGATTTTTTTTTGGGTGTTTAAAAGTTGTTTTGTCATATTACCAGAATTGTTTTTCTGGTTCCTTCTCACTTGGGTAGCCTATGTCAGAGGGATGGTATAGGGCTCAAGGCTGCTATTCACAAATTTTTTTTAATCTCATGGGATGTTTTCTTGCTGTAGTATTCTGCCCGATTTCCTATGGATGTGGTTTCCAGAGAGCTGAGCTGTTGTGATTGTTATCTCTCTTCTGGATCTAGCCACCTAGCAGAGGTCTACTAGGCTTTGGGCTGGTACTGAGGGTTGTCTGCCAGAGTCCTGTGATGTAAACCATCTGCAGGTCTCTCAGCCATGGATACCAGCACCCGCTCTGGTAAAAGTGGCAGGGGGTGAAATGGACTCTGTGAGGGTCCTTAGTTTTGGTTGCTTAATGCACTATTTTTGTATTGGGCTCCTGCCAGGAGGTGGCACTTTGAAGAGAGCATCAGCTATATTAGTATAGGGGGGATCGGGGAGTGGACAGGGCCCTAGAACTCCCAAGAGTTTATGCTCTTTGTCTTCAGCTGCCAGGGTGAGTAGGGAAGGACCATCAGGTGGGGGCAGTAGGCATGTCTGAATGGACTCTCCTTGGGTAGGTCTTGCGGCAGCTGCTATGGGGGATAGGGGTGTGGTTCCTGGGCCAGTGGAGTTAAATTTCCAGGAAGATTAGAGTTGCCTCTGCTGTGTCATGCAGGTTGTCGGGGGAGTGGGGAAAGCCCACAGTCACAGGCCTCACCCAGCTCCCATGCAACAGAAAAGGCTGGTCTCACTCCCACTATGTCCCCCGCAAACAGCACTGAATCTGTTTCCAAGCAGTGGTCAAGCAGGGCTGAGAACTTGCTCTAGGCTACCAGCCTCCCAGCTGCGAAAGCAAACTGGGCTTTTGTGTCTCCCTGCCTGTGGAGTCTGCACACCAGATTCATGCCCTTCCTGAGGTCTGGCCGGGAGACTTCATATTCCATTGGAATTGCTAGAAAGTTCAGCTGGAGGTTTCCTTCTCCCTGTGGTCTTTTTCCAATGCCTCTGGTAGCCCTCCCCAAGGACCCCTGTGAGACAAGGCAGAAATAGCTTCCTAGGAAACCCAGAGAGCCCACAGGGCTTTTCCTGCTGCTTCCTCTACCTCTGTGTTTCACTTAGCTCTGTAAATTGACTCAGCTCCAGGTAAGGTCAGAATCTTCTCCCATGATCTAGACCTCAGGTTCCCCACCGAGGGTGTGTGTTCAGGGGCAGGCAATCCCCATTTCCCACTTCCACAGCTTGGGCTGTATTTGGGGTGTCTCCTGGGTCCTGCAGGAGCAATCTACTTCCTTCAGGAGGTCTGTGGTGTCTCTCAGCTTTCCTGGTTAGTTTCTGCAGTAGTTATATAAGGAGCAAAAGTTCACAGTGTGAATCTCCACACACTGCTCAGTCTGTCCATGTGAGAGCTGCAGTCTAGTTCTGTCTCCTGTCTGCCATGATCTCCTATAGTAATTTTCTACAATGATTTTTGTTTGTTTTTGTCTTTCTACTTTAAAAAAAATTCTGAGATAAACTTTTAGTTGTTTTCAGTCTTTGAGTCACGTTACCTCTTTTCATTTTCAGCTTTATATCTTTTTTTTCTAAAATATGTCCTGAAAATGACACAGCAAACAAATACGTGTGCTCAGCTCATCATCTTGAGCCATTAGTTCTAGTAAATTCATGTTGTATTTACTCAGGATGATACCTAATACTCTACTAAGAGTCAACAATTCCATTATTATCAAGAATAGCACATTAGGATCTATTTTTTTAAAAAAATAATACACATTTGAGTACACAAAGCACTTAACCCCCTTTTTTCTTTTTATTCTGGAAATCTTACATATACAGTTTTCTTTACTTCCCTATTTTCCAAATAAAGAGTCAATCAAAGTTTTTTCTTTCATCTTTAAGTTAGTGAATTTACACTGGGTATTTTGAGAAAGCAATGGTCATGTATACCAAGATGCTTTTAAGATAACTGACTTTGGTTATAAAGAGACTTAATGCAAGCCTCCAGTTTAACTTGGAGGACTGAGTCATTCCTGTAATAACATGTTTTCCTGAACCATGGACAGGACATCTTTGCCATTCAACCTCTGATTTGCCCAAGGTGACTAAAGAACCAGCAGCAAACAAAAGCAAAGGTAAAATAGACTTTTGTTTTCCTGTTTGTAAAAATTTTTAAAACTGTTTTTAGAAATCTGAGGAGTTAGAAAAAAGCTAATATTAATTTCTTGATATACTCAATTTCTTTTCTAGTCTAACTTTAATTTTCAAATGCAGTACCTTTTGAAATGTGAGTTTGTTTTCATGAACCTAGCAGCCTAAAAAACACATTTGTCACTGACAGTTATGAGTTAAATTTCAGTTAACTTTTTATTTATAATAAATCTACATTTGAAAATAATTCCCACTTTAATGACTACTCAAGGCTTTCTTCATTTTTCTTGTGTGCATAGTTTCTGTGATTGCATTACTAACCTTAACTTGTGATAGCACCAAAATGTATTCCATGAAGCAGATTAGTAAATTAACTCCAAACAAGCCATAGGAACATGACTTTATGAGAGAGCCACAGCTTCAATATTTTTTGAACCAATAGATGTGAAACATTCCTCAAGCTAACTTTATAAACATTGTTTTCCATTAGGGCATAAGTGTATTTTTTGACACATTTTACTTTTATACAATCTTTAATGAAATATGTTTTTCATACCTCATTTTATAGTTGTACTTGTCGTGATGGGCAATATAAGAGGATCATTTGTTAGAATAAGTATTGCAGATTTTAGGAAGCATACAACATTTAAAAGGGCTAAGAAAGTGGATAATTTTTGATCGTAAAACTGGGTTTTACATTTTCTTTCCAAATATTGTTAGAGTAGACTGAATATTTAGAGATAATAATCATCTGTTATTTCAAAAGAAAAATCTTAGTAATTGGGAAGAGGATTAATAAATACACATATACGTATATGTACATATGGATATATAGATTTAGATTTTCTGGAAAAGAAAAAACAAGTACCAAAACAGTATAAGAAAGGCAAGTCTTGAATCATTCAACCTATTGAAGAGAAATCTTAAAGTTGAGAAATTCAATAATGATGGGGAAAATGCTATTTACTTTAGTGACTATGTATGTGACTATATGTATGTATATAAAATGAAAATTTGAAAAATAATGAGCTAATAAAACTGGTTGCCTCTACATCCCCAGTACCTGAATAATCTACAATTTCTCTCTCTCTCTCTCTCTCTCTCTCTCTCTCTCTCTCTCTCTCTCTTTGAGACAGGGTATCTGTGTCACCCAAACTGGAGTGAGGTGGCACGATTTCAGCTCACTGCAATGATCTCAGCTCACTGCAGTGATCCCAGCTCATTGTAACCTCTGTCTCCTGGGTTCAAGTGATTCTCCTGCCTCAGCCTCCAGAGTAGCTGACATTACAGGCATGCGCCACCATGCCCAGCTAATTTTTTTATTTTCTGGTAGACACAGTGTTTTACCATGTTGACTAGGCTGGTCTCGAACTCCTGACCTCAAGTGATTCACCCACTTTGGCTTCTCAAAGTGCTGGGATTACAGGTGTGAGCCACTGCAATTGGCCCAGGTTTTCTTTTTTAAAACGATGTACATAAACAAAACAAAAGAGAAACCTTATAAGACAAAACTTTTCTTCCTTCATAGACATGCTGACTTGAATCATCTTCATAATATTTGGTTCTCTGCAGGATATGGTGGAGCGTGCCTGTAGTTCCTGCTACTCAGGATGCTGAGGCAGGAGAATTGCTTGAACCTAGGAAGTGGAGTTTGCAGTGAGCCGAGATTGTGCCATTGCACTCCAGTCTGGGCTATGGAGCCACACTCTATCACAAACAAACAAACACACAAACACGCAAACAAACAAACAACTTGACTCTCTATTTCACCTGTTTATACAAAACTTTCCTTTCTGTATTTCTCATATGTTTTCTCTTATATAGTAGCATGCAACCCTGTTACATACCAATCAGGTAGAATTAGAGTGACACTGAATTGACTTGTTTGTTTCCAAACTTTGGGAATTCCTTCAATCAATGTAATACATATTAGAATCATTGTTACTTGGGATACTTATTGTTTTTATAAATGCAATACAATTGTGGTGATATCTAAGAAAGCTTAGTCACATGATTTATTTCAGCCTGGCTTGTAAATTAGAGTTCAGTTTGGTGATGGAAAGAAGATCTCTTGTTGAAATAGTAACACTTAGATTTTTGTTGTTGTTGTTGAGATAGGGTCTCACTGTCACTCAGGCTGGAGTGCAGTGGCATGATCACTGCTCACTACAGCCTTGAATTCCTGGGCTCAGGTGAACCTCCCACTTCAGCCTCCTGAGTATGTGGAACCACAGGCATGCACCACCAGCCTGGTTAACTTTTTGAATTTTTTGCAAAGACGGGGTTTCACCATGTTGCTCAAGCTGGTCTCAAACTCTTGGACTCAAGAGGCCCTCTGCCTCGGCCTCCCAAAGTACTGGGATTACAGGTGTGAGCCAACACGCCATTCTACTTATAACAGAATTACAGATACTGTGAGTTTCTAATAAGAACAACCTGTAGTTTTCTTGTTCACAGACAGAAGTTTCTTTACCTAAGTGCTAAGCATGGGCCTAATGTTCATAATATACTGAAATGTATGAATCCCATGTTCTCTCTTATCACATACATGTGAAAAATCCAAATCTCATTCTTTAAGGAGTAATATTTCTTTGATATAATATATTGGTTGGTTAAAGAACTGGCTACAATCCTAGGCTGGAATTCCTCTGCCTTTGTCATGAGAGTTCCAGAACAACCTTATTGCGTCCTTAGTCTAACCCAGAATCTATGATTGGACATTTCCAAATTTCCTTATTGTATTAGGAAATTCTCTCAGGATCACATCTGGAAATTAAAATCTATTGCAAAACATTTTGAAGTTATAAGGTTTGTGTAATTGGACTGCATGCAATTAGCAGTTTTGGACAAATAAACTTTTTAAAGAATTAAAAATATTTGTATGTAAAAGTATTTCTTCAGTTTTATGGTTAATATATGTTGCTATGAATTAACTCAGGAACTCAACTTACTTTACTAACATTCAAGTGCAACACAGTTCTCATATCACATGAATTTAACCAAAGTAGAGAACAAATTATCTAATGATTTTTTTAAAAATGCAGTCAAATTCATGATTAAATACTAAATTTTTGTAGCATTTTTGTGCTGTAGTATTTTGTGCTGAGAAGAATATATATTCCGTTGATTTGGAGTGGAGAGTTCTTTAGATGTCTTTTAGATCTACTTGGTTCAGAGCTGAGTTCAAGTCCTGGATATTCCTGTTAATTTTCCATCTCATTGATCTGTCTAATATTGACAGTGGGTGTTAAAGTGTCCCACTACTATTCTATTGTAATCGAAGTAACTTTGTAGGACTCTAAGAACTTGCTTTATGAATCTGGGTGCACCAGTATCGGGTGCATATATATTTAGAATTGTTAGCTCTTCTCATTGCATTGATTCCTCTACCATTATGTAATGCCCTTCTTTGTCGGTTTAAAGTCTGTTTTATCAGAGACTAGGAATGCAAACCCTGCTTTTATTGCTTTCCATTTGTTTGGTAAATATTCTTCCATCCCTTTATTTTGAGCCTAAGTGTGTCTTTGCATGTGAGATGGGTCTCCTGAATATAGCACACTGATGAGTCTTCACTCTTTATCCAATTTGCCAGTCTGTGTTTTTTAGTTGGAGAATTTAGCCCATTTACATTTAAGGTTAATATTTTTATGTGTGAATCTGATCTGGTCATTATGATGCTAGCTGATTATTTTGCACATTAGTTGATGCAATTTCTTCATAGTGTCGATGGTCATTACATTTTGGCATGTTTTTGCAGTGGCTGGTACCAGTTTTTCCTTTCCATATTTAAGGCTCCAGGAGCTCTTGTAAGGCAGGCTTGGTGACAAAATCCCTCAGCATTTGCTTGTCTGTAAAGGATTTTTTTGACTGGATGTGAACTTCTGGGTTGAAAATTCCTCTCTTTAAGAATGTTGAACATTGGTTCTCCACTCTTTTCTGGTTTGTAGGGTTTCTGAAGAGAAATTCACTGTTAGTCTGATGGGCTTCCCTTTGTGGATAACCTGACCTTTCTCTCTGGCTGCCTTTAATATATTTTCCTTCATTTCAACCTTGGTGAATCTGATGATTATGTGTCTCGGGGTTGCTCTTCTTGAGGAGTATCTTTGTGGTGTTCTCTGTTATTTCCTGAATTTGAATGTTGGCCTGCTTTGCTAGGTTGGAGAAGTTCTCCTGGATAATATCCTGAAGAGTGTTTTCCAACTTGGTTCCCTTTAGGTACACCAGTCAAATGTAGGTTTGATCTTTTCACATAGTCCCATATTTCTTGGAGGCTTTGTTTGTTCCTTTTCAACCTTTATTCTCCAATCTTGTCTTAATGCTTTATTTCATTAAGCTGATCTTCAATCTCTGATATTCTTTCTTCTGCTTGATCTATTAGGCTATTGATACTTGTGTGTGCTTCACAAGGTTCTTGTGCTGTGTTTTTCAGCTCCATCAGGTCATTTATGTTCTTCTCTAAACTCATTATTCTATTTAGTAGTCCCTATAACCTATTATCAATGTTCTTAGCTTCCTCGCAGTGGGTTAGAACATGTTCCTTTAGCTCAGAGGAGTTTTTTATTACCCACCTTCTGAAGCCTACTTCAGTCCATTTGTCAGACTCACTCTTCATCCTGTTTTGTTCCCTTGATGGCAAGGAGTTGTGGTCCTTTGGAGAAGAAGAAGCATTATGGGTTTTGTAATTTTTAGTCTTTTTGCATTGGCTTTTCCTCATCTTTGTGGATTTATCTGCCTTTGATCTTTGATGTTGGTGACCTTCAGATGGGGTTTTTGCATGGGCTTCCTTTTTTATTGATGTTACTGCTTACTGTTTGTTAGCTTTCCTTCTAACAGTCAGGACCCTCTGCTGCAGGTCTGCTGGAGTTGGTTGAAGGCCCATTCCAGACCCTGTTTGCCTGGATATAACCAGCAGAGTTTGCAGAACAGCAGAGATTGCTGCCTGCTTCTTCCTCTGGAAATTTTGTCCCAGGGGGCACCAGCCAGA